ATTTATTCAATTTCTTATTTTAGGTATTTAATTACCTAACAAATTATGTTTAAAATTCAAACAATAAATTTACATATCACAATGATTTTCTGTTAAAATTCGAACAACTTTTAAGCATTTTACACGTTCGTATGTGAATCTTTAAAATAAAAGAAATCATTAATATAGTTAATATTTACTGCAGAAAAAAAAAAGGAAAAAAGAATCGAGGATAAAATCAATAAGAGTTTATCAAAGATGAAAGGAAGGTCAACAGGATTACTGTAACTGAATAAGTTGAACATAGGAAATTAGCATTAAAACTAGCAGAATTGAATAAGCAAATGAAAAGAATGCATAAGCGATAAGTAAATATTGTAAACTGAGCAGTTGTTGAATTGCGTAGAATGATGTTGTTGATGATGATGAGAAAGTAGAAGGAGTTGCAGAAGAAAATATCGAAGTTGATTTCAAATTCTGAAAAATTTAATTCATTATTGGAAGGTTTGTTAGCTGAAAATGAATTTATTTTCAAAATTTGCATAATTATAAGAAAATAAGATTCTTACCTTACCTTACCTGTTTTACTCGAAATTAGCTTAGCTGAATTTTCTTGAACTTTTTGACAAAATTTATCATACTAAAAATTATCAAAATAATATAATAATTAAAATCTTGACTGGGAAATTAAGAAATTGATTTAATTTTAAGAAACCTGTGTTTCAATGCTTTTAGAAAGTGTTATAATTGGTAATTGGGTTAATCGCTGTAATCGCTCGAAATTACCCATACAATCTGATAGTGATGAAATTTCGGATTGTATTTCGCTACTTAATGTAGATGGACGATCTATCAATCGACTTAAGCGTATTGCTTCAATTGCATCTATAACAATAAATAAATATTTAATACATTTAAAAAAAAAAAAAAAAAAGATTTCTCTTAGAATTTTTTGAAATTTAACTTATTTTTCTTGAAAATTATTTTTCAATTATTCAAACATTTCTCCTATCTTTGATTTATTTTTATGAATTATTTGCAAATTTATTTCATATATTTTCATTTTTTTTTTTTACATAAAATAAAACATTTATTGGAAT